GAGCCAGAATTCTGGGAGTTGAAGTCCACACCTCTTAAAGTTCCCATGGTTGAGAAACACTGCTCAGTAACACTGCTCAATATAAACCCTGTTTATACACATATAGAGTGCACTCTATAAACACTCACTCTCTCTCTCTCTCTCTCTCTCTCTCTATATATATATATATATATATAAATAAAATTTACATATATATATATATATGTAGAGAGAGAGACACAGAGAATGTAATAATACACACTACAATATATAAATTATGTTCAAGGTTATGTGTGTGGCTGTGTCTTACGCTTACGTGGGGAGGTTGTTTCTGTATCCGTGATGGTTTTTTTCAGCTGTACAATTAAGGTGATGGATGTCCTCCTTTCCTCTGTCTGTATGTGCAATGTGGGGTTTCTGGAGGCAATTTCTATTGCGTATAATTAGGCATGTGGATGGATGGATGTGGTGGGTTGAAAGAGAGGTGGTTGTATCTATGTGCTTGTGTCTATAAATGTCATGTTTGCTGCTGCTGCTGCTGCTCCTCCTCCTCCTGTTTCTTCTCATCCTGTGAGATGAAGGCTTTTTCATTCAGGGTTATGGGTGTAATCAACCACGCCAGTTTGGTGTGGCTTGGTAAATGGATGGTTTTTGGACTTCCCAGCTATGGTAGAGGGGCACTGGCCCAGAGTCTCCCAGCCAGCTTCTGGGACTAAGGCAGGATGAGAACCAAGGTCTTCCTACTTCTAGGCCAGCCCCTTATATGTGGGGTATAGTGTGGGGCATATACGTGGGGTATGGCATGGGGTAGCAGTTGAGGAGCTGGACTATATTAATATATAACTCCCCTCTGAGCCAAAGGAGTTAAGGGGCACCTGCTGTCTTCTTCCTGAACTTGTGCTCCCATTTATCTGCACCACAGCCCAACAGAGTGGGCCTGACCGAGGGAGCAGCGTGTTTGAGGTCGCCCAAGGAAGACCATGGCTGAGTCACAGCTTGGGCTCTGGGTCCCCAGCTCCGTCAACAGGAATCTCAGCAGTACTCTCTGGATGCAAGATTTCAACTCTCATGGTCCTCAGCTAGCCTGGCTCACCTCCCTTGATCTGGGAAGGTCCAAGTATGTGGGACTACAGTTCCCATCATCCCCCAAATGGATGAGTCTAATAATGGGAAGAAGGAGGTTTCTCTGAAGCCTTTGCGTCTGGCACTGAGTCGCAGTCTTGTTGACTGCAGGCCGTTAACCAGGTTCACGTGGCACACTGGGCCAAAATCAGATGTTGTTGTGGCTTAGTGCAATGTGAAGTTCGCACCGTTGCTTGCTAACCGCAAAGTGGACTGTGGCCCAAACGCTTTGGTTGAACAATCCAGCAGGTGCGCTGCTGGCATGTTTGCAGGCTTTATGGTTTTGTAGGGAACCGTCTGTGCTGCCCTCAGTTGGGGTGTCCTGGAAAGCAGCAACGGGGACTCCTTTAAGACGGAGGAAGCCCGCCTCCCAGGTGGGTTGCCGGGTTTGGGGTTCGTGGCATCCAGGTGACTTTCTCTGGCAGCAAGCAAAAGGGTGGAGGAAGAGGGCCCCGAAAAGAGCTGAAAATCAGTCCCCAGTTACGATTTTGACCTACAAGGCTCAACTCGGGTGCAACTGCACGCGGTCCACACTGGTAGGAACAGGTGAAGTAACGCACAATTTCGCACTGTCCGAGCTGGGCTGTGTGCCTTGTTGCTCCTGACCAAGTCAGGGTTGATAAGCCAAGGAGAAACTCTGGTTTCAGTTCCAGTTTGTTAGAAGGGCAGCATGTATGGATCCTCGTTTGGGGTACATGCTAGATTTTGGGTTCTGGTAATCTTACTTGCCTGCCTGGATAAGTAAGACTCCAGCTGCTGCTGGGGTTGAGTTTAAGGGGTTTCTGGCAGGAAGAATTGGGCTACATCAATAGACATCTTCTGAATGGTAAAATGGTATTCTTTCCCAGCCTCGGTCCCTCTGCCTGCAAAGGGGAATAATGCTGACTTATTTATGGCATTGATAAAAGAGTTGCAAAGTTTGTTGGTTCTTGAACGTCTGAAAGCTTGAGAAAGTCTAGGACTACTTTTATTGAGAGTGGCTTGAATAACCAAATCTTGCAAGTCTGGTTGTGCTGTGCTTGCTGCCGTCTTATATTCCAGTAAATCAGGGAGGTGTCTGTCTGAACCACTTCCTCATACTTTCTGTGGGTTTTGGACTTAAGCTATGCTTTTCTCCTCGTCATTTTCTCCATCAGGGTCATCTTCCTTACTCTCTGCAATTAGTATTAATATTTAAGTAACCTCCTGAACGAGACCAAAGAGCTTCCGGGGCCATAAACTTGTTTTCACAGCAGCCAAGCAGCTGCCCCTCCTGCATGTGTTCCCCAGCTGCAGAGGTACAGTTGTGCCTCTGATCTGGGAGTCCCAAATGGCCGTCATGACCAGCAGAAGTGACTGGTGATCAGCTGATCGGTTACCCTTCAGTTGCTCACAGGGGGTTAAAATCCTTTGAAGAACTACAACAATGCCAGAGGCTTGAGAATTTGGATTTTGTATCCTAAACTATGTGCTGAGGGTGAAATCCTCTCTGTCTTTGGTGATCGTCTTGCTGGATTTCTGCAGAAGCCCCTGAAGGTCCGTGGAGGCCAGACTCTTCAGCCAGGGAGAGGGAATTGTCTGGCTTCTGACTCAGTGCCATGTCTGAGCCAACTCAAAAGCCTCAGTTTGTGCTCAGAATCTTATTCTGTGGCTCCTGCTGAAAGATCACCTTGGCTGAGAATTCCAGAAACAAAAACATCCTTTGAAGGGCGCAGGTATCTTCCACAGCCTCCTCCCCGCCTCCAGCCCAGGATGGGCATTTTCAGCCACTGCATAATTAGCATATTAAAGTGTTTTTGCTTTTTTCAAAAAGGGCATTTTTAAAACCTTGGCATTTTGGTCACTGACCAGCAATTAAAACCCCGAGAAATCAAGTGGAACTAATAATAAAACTTGGCAGCAGGCAGGTATAAGGAGCATAATTTGTAATGGTTTTAATGGTTTTAATTATTGAAATTGAGTGCCACCCAGAGTCACTTGGACTGAGATGGGCGGCTATAGAAAATGCATAAATAAATGAATAGATAACCTGCCTTCACTTCCCCAAGCTTCGTGTTTTTTCTCTTTCATTTTTTCCCCCAAGGAACATATAACATTCCATTCTTTTGGGTGGCTCCTGTTTCTTGGCTGGGTTAAAACTTTTTAAAACTTCCTTCCTAAGACCTGTGCAGGCAGGAGACCAACTGCATTCCAGTCCCTTTTTATGGTCTGCCACAAGAGTGTGTAAAAGCGTACCTGCCCGCCTGGGTCCTTGGCAGAGTCCCTCTTTATTTCTCACACCATGGGGCAGAGGCTGCATAGGGCCACCTGTCCCCTCCCGCCCTTTGAACACCGGGCTAGGGTCTCTTGGAGCGACCCCCGGCAAGGTTTCTTGGAAACAACCTTTCAAAGGCGTCTTGTGGGTCCAGAAAAGTGAGGGGAAAGAGTGGTAACCTTGAAGTATTTCATGATGTCCGTTACAGGTGCCTGATCCTTTCCTTTAGGGAGCATGGATGCTGAGGAAGAAGCTGTAGTTCTCATGTGTTCATTTCTCCCTTTTTTCCTTTTAGCTGAGCAACCTGCACCTGAAAGAGGAGAACCTCAAGCCAGACACCAACGGTGGGTGTAGCCACGGTTTCTGAGGCTGATCCGTTTCCCGCAGCTGTCACAGATACCTTTTTCCCGCTCTTTGTTCTTGCCCACACACAAAGACAATCTTATTCTCCCTGCTTTTACAACTAAATTTACATCCTCATATCGAGGAGACCAGCCTGCTGAAACGGAGCCAAAGGCTGTGGTGGCTTCAAAGCACTAAGAATATATTTTAGGTGTAAGGTCGGGTCAGTCAGAGCCTCACTTGGCAGTAATAGATCTACAAGCTTCACCGGCAAATGTAGATAAGAATCGTGGTCCTGCTGGCGGTGGGGAATCCCTCAAGCCCTCCATGAGAGGTGATTGTCCAGCCTATTCTTTAGTTGGAGAACTTGCGGCCTCCATGGGGAGGCTCTTCCACTCAGCGCAGTTTCTCCTTGGTGCTCAAGCATTGAAGGGAAGGCATGCGAGTTCATCCCCAGTGGCAGCTGTAACTGCCCCTCTGCTATAGAAGTGGGATTCCTCTGCTTGCTGAAGTGGGATGTGTGTCTGGAAAAGCTGCTCCCTTGGCCTGAATTTGGCTAAGTGGCCTCCATCTCCCTCTGAAATTTCCCACAAGAGTGTTCCCCCCACCCTCCACTCCCGGCTGCTGCTGCTGCTGCTGTAACAGAACAGAATAGCTTTCTTGGCCCGCCCGTCGCAACAGTGCTACAGTGATGGTTTGTTCCTAACCCAGGTGCCGTTGTCAAGGCAGGGGACAATGCAGAGAAGGCGGAAGAGGACGAAAAAGGTACACCCAATTTTAATTTGTTGGGGAAATCGAGAAACTGGCTTTGCTGCGCAGGGAGGCCCCAGGCTCTGGCCTCCAGCCTCTTCTTCATCTCTAAGAATGGCTCTGGGCTGCAACTAAGCTTCTGGGCGTGTTCAGAAGACAAGCACTGCGCAGGCCGCTGCAGCACAGGGCTGCTCTGGAAGAAGGCAGAAGTCAGCTGGGGTGGGAAGAGAGGTTGGGGAAGCAGACGGTCCACCCACACGGTGCAGTGAATAATGGAAGCCTTTTAAAACAAGTCAGAGACTTCAGACAGCAATATATTATAAACAATTGGCGAAAGATCAGCAAACCAATTAAACTTTACTCGTGGTCTGGCCAAAGTTACTCGTGGTCTGGTCACTGAAAGCCTAGCCACGGAACCTTGGCTTCTTATCTAGTTAGGCCAGCCCTCTTCAATCTGAAGCTCCACAAATGTGTTGGATTTAAGCTCCCATAATTCCCACCCAGCCAAGGCCATGCTAGTTGCGGGATTCAGCCCTGGGAGGTTTGGGGGCATTGATCTGAGGTGGTGGAACACACCGTCATTATGCGTGGCATAATTGGAACCAGAAGAGGAGTTTCTGCTGGGAATGAAACGCTCCTTCAGGGGTGCAGGCTGGCCTGGGACCCTCCTTTTCTTGGCAGGCCTGGGCGGCGAAGTGCACAGCTCTGTAATGTCCGGAGGTAAAGCAAAGCCCGCTCAGCGTTCTGTCTTCGGTGCCAGCTGTTTGCCATCTGCTGGTTCTATCCTCAAGCGCTGGGACATGAGGAGGACCCCCACCTCCTCTCCTCAGCCAAAGGCTCTCTAGGAAATGGGAGGGGGGGTCATATGTGGTGCAGGGATGGCAGAGAGGTGGTCATTTTCGGACTGGGGAAGAGTCCCCCTCCTTGTGGGCGGCTTTGCGGCCTGCTTTTAACACTCAGAGGGCCCCTTGGCAAAAGCAGCCACGGCCCTTAGAGAATGCCCCTCCCGTCCAGATTGGCAGGTGTGTTCTGGCAGGGGATCGAGGCTTAAAAAAAAACAAGGGGTGTTTATTCTTTGTTGTCCTCCTCTTCCCTTCTCCAATTTGGCCGCAGAGGATCGCGCCGCCCAGTCACTGCTGAACAAGCTGATCCGCAGCAATTTGGTGGACAACACAAACCAGGTGGAGGTTCTGCAGAGGGACCCGACGTCGCCGCTCTACTCGGTGAAGTCTTTTGAAGAGCTGCGCCTGTAAGTGCCCCGGCTTGGCTTTCGGGGGCAGAGCGCTCTGCGAGGGGGGGATATCTCGAAGGGGTGACCTTTTGTGGCATGCATGCCCTGCCTGGAGTGGGTCTCCGTTTTACCCCTCCCAAACGATCCTGGGAGAGAGGGGCTGGCCCAAAGTCTTCCTGGTGGTGTGCGGACATGACCTTGGGTTTCCTGGGTCCCGGTCCAACACCTTCACCAACTGTGCCATGCTGGCTGGGCATAACCCCCGGATTGGCTGTAGAAATTCAGCAACTTCCGCTGGCTTCTGCTTCAGGCACAATCTCAACCCGGCTGACCTCCAAGGGCTGTTGTGAAGCTCAAAGGGGGTCCCCATTTCTATGTGCTTTGGAGGAAAGATGTGTTGCTGTTGGTTCAAAAAGCTGGCTGCAACCAGAGGGCAGCGACTAGGGAGTAGCCGTGGGAGAAGATGGTCGTCCTCCCGTCTTGGTTTGCTTCCTGGGTGCATCTGACTGGTCACCCCGAACCAGGTGAGGCCCTCGGCCTGATCCAGCCTCAGCGCTTTTCCGATCTGCGGAATTCATCTCTTCCTGGACTGCTTGGGAAATCTGAACAGGAGGCAAATCGGTTTCCAAGCATTATAATGTAAACGCAATATCGAAAATAGGGCAGGGACACCGAAGGTCAGGCACAGCCAAACTAGTGGCCCTAAATGCAACATAAACCCACAAGAACAAGTAGCTGGAAATAGTAAGCCTTCTAAAAGCCCTCTTTGTTTTAATATCAACTGTTCTGAACCCACGACTTTCTTCAGTAACTCCGCTTTGTTCCCCCCCGCCAGGAAGCCCCAGCTGCTCCAGGGGGTGTACGCCATGGGCTTCAACAGGCCCTCCAAGATCCAGGAGAACGCCCTGCCCATGATGCTCGCAGAGCCGTACGTATTGGCCAGCAGGCCCTCGCAGGGTCTGGATGGAGAGGGCAAGCGAGCGAGCTCTTTTGCAATTGTAAACAGTTCGGGCTTGGGGAGGGCTGAAGGTTTGATGGTGGAGTCCTCCAAGCAGCCTGAGGGGGTGTCCCAGCAACCCCTTGCTGGAAGCGCGGGTTGTGCTGGGCCAGAGCGTCCCAGCTGTTACCCTCGAATTGTCTGCTGGCGGGAGACTCGGAGGCGGTCCCCCCGAGGGGCGGCCGTTCCCTCTGAGCCTCGTGGGGCCCTCCCCCCCACTCACGGCAACGGGTCTCCAGTCCGCAGAATCTGATCGCGCAGTCCCAGTCCGGCACCGGGAAGACGGCAGCTTTCGTCCTAGCCATGCTCAGCCGAGTGCAGCCTGACCACAGGCATCCCCAGGTAGCTGCAGGTGCAAGTCCTGGTTAGGGGAAGGGGGCGGAGGAGCCTGTACTGCGAGGGGCGATGTGGTCGGAGGATTGCCGGGGCTCGTTTGCTCCATCCCAGGCGGGGCAGGGATTGGCAGCCCTTGGCCTTCCTCCCGGAGGCTCGGAACCTGGCCTGGTTCAGACTGCTGGGAAGAGGAGGGGGTTTGGGGAAGAAGGGGAGTGGGAACGTGCCAGCTGCCAACCTAAAAGAGAGGCATCGGGAAGACTTTCTGGGCCCTGCGCCCTGACTCTTCTGCCCTTTCCTCCTCCAGTGCCTCTGCCTTTCCCCCACGTACGAGTTGGCCCTCCAGACCGGGAAGGTCATAGAGCAGATGGGCCGGTTCTACCCAGCGCTGAAGCTGGCCTATGCCGTTCGAGGCAACAAACGTGAGTCTCGCCCCTGATTCTGTCCCTTGAGGACCCCTCCCCTGACATCTCACGAGAATGGGGCAGAGCTGCGCTGGGCAGCCTCTCAAAGTTCTGTGAGGAGTTGGGTTCTTCAGGCGCAAAAGTCCGGAGTGTTTTAAAGGCAGCCTGGTCTGAAACCTGGGCGGGAGTCAGGAGGCGTCTGTGGCTGGGGGACCGGCGGGCCCCTTTGCAAGCTCCCAGCCGGTCTCTTTCCCTGCTCCTCAACAGTGGAGCGTGGCCAGAAGATCGCCGAACAGATCGTCATCGGCACGCCAGGCACCGTTCTGGACTGGTGTTCGAAGCTGAAGTTCATCGACCCCAAGAAGATCCGGGTCTTTGTTTTGGATGAGGCCGACGTCATGATCGCCACCCAGGGGCACCAGGACCAGAGCATCCGCATCCAGAGGTGAGGGCGAGCCCTGGTGGCTGCGGTGGGGGCAGGCCAGATTTCCCAGCATGGCTTGGAGCTGCCCGTTCAGTGGTCACAGTTTTCAACAGAAAGAAAACATTTTCTGACTTGGTTTTTCCCCAGCAGAAAGGTGGATGAACGCGTGCAAGTTTCTAAGTCCTTTCTGTCCGATTCCTTCACCATCTCCTTTAAAATAAGCTTTCATTGTGTTAATGTCTTTTTTCAGACCCACATGTCACATGTTGGTCTTTGATCTTCTTTTTTCCAGTTTGAACATTTTGTTTTTTGAAGCCGAGAAATTATGTTAGGTGATTTGGGCCTGCGGAACAAAGCAGGACCAGGATAACACTGGCCCTTCACAGAAAGGAAGTCAGTTGGCCAGGAACAAGCCCAGCAAAATTCTCGAGTGGAGCAGCCGTTGCACTCCCCTTCAGATGCTAGTCCTGCTCTGGGGCCATCAGAGGAGGCTCTGGAAGTGTGGTGGGAGCTGAGCGGGCGTCTCAGGAGGGGTGGCATGATAGAGGCTTTTCCATGGAGCCCGTGGGGTGTCCTCGGTTTGTGGAGTCGATGAAGTGACAGAAGGGAAGACAGGTCCTCATCTGTGGTCAAGGTCAGAGTTACCCGGTTGGCAGCAAACGCAGAAGTGACCGAGAAAAGTTTGGGGCCCATGGGTGTGCTTGGAGCTTTGAGAAGGAGTGGTGGGCTCTGCCACAAAATGGCTGCCTTGTTGGGCGTGGCCAAATCAGGCTCGCCAGAAGATGGGTTCACAAGGTGGTGCCCTGGGACGCTGCAGGGAGGCCATTGCCATGCCAGCTTAGCTTGGCTTTGTCACGCAGGTGGCCTAATTCTGCCTCCTGCAAATGCTGCTGTTAAAGGTCCAAATGAGACCTGGAGGTAAAGGCAGGTGATGCTAGAAGCTGCCAGGTTCGTTTACTGCATGCCTGCTTCCTGTTTAATTTCTAAAAGTGAGGAGTCCAACCTGTTTTGGGACAGGTGACTGGGGCAGGGAGGGGAAAGATCTGGAGACTCCAACAATGGGATGATTGCTGAGGGCCAGGCTGCCTTGTGCGGGGCAAGGTTACAGATCCTCCGTGTTGGGGGCAAGTATGTCCGTATACTTGATGCTACCGAGCTGGAGCAAGGCGTGCGGGGGCAGAAAACTGCCGCCTTTAAGATTTGCACGCGAGCCGTAGGGCTGCGGATTCAAGTCTGGCTGTTTCTTCCCCCAATGTTCAGGATGCTTCCCCGCGACTGCCAGATGTTGCTCTTCTCGGCCACCTTTGAGGACTCGGTGTGGAAGTTTGCCCAGAAAGTCGTTCCTGACCCCAACATCATCAAGCTGAAGCGGGAGGAAGAGACGCTGGACACCATCAAGCAGTACTACGTCCTCTGCAGCAGCCGAGAGGAGAAGTTCCACGCCCTCTGCAACATCTACGGCGCCATCACCATCGCCCAGGCCATGATCTTCTGCCACGTGAGTGCTGGGGGGCCTTGGACGCCTGATGTGGGGGGCGTTCAGCTCGGTTCCACCATTCCTGTCGCCTCTGTCTCCCCCCACCCCCTGCACCCTCTTCGCTGAATGAAGCAGCACCACTTCATAGCTGAAAGGATTTGGGGCGTGGTGGTGGGGGAGAGAGAATCGGCTACCCTTCTCCGTGAATTTTCACAATTCTTTATCAGCAAAATCGCAAAATCTTGCGGCTTTATGCTTCTCCGTGCTGGTTACTGGGAATAGTATGGGGTTGCGCCCTCACCCTTGGCTTCCCAGGGGCACCAAGTGTGATACAAGCATTGCAGCACGATGAGCCGTGTTTAGTGCATCTCATAAACCGTGTCTCAAATGGTTTTGCGTCTAGCTTGAGGACCCCTGTTTTTAGCGTAGAGGGGAATTCAGTAAAGGTGAAATACCTGCTGTGTCCTTCAATTACCCCTGTGTGCTTGCAGTTTTCTGCTCAGCGCTGTGGAAATGGTTTTCCATCTCCCCCTTCTGGGGTCTGTCAGTTTGCATAGCCCCCTGTTTTTGCTGGTCTCTATTCCGAGCCCTTCGTTTCTGACCCTTCTGTTCCGCAGACCCGCAAGACGGCTGGCTGGCTGGCGGGGGAACTTTCCAAAGAAGGCCACCAGGTGGCGCTCCTGAGCGGGGAGATGATGGTGGAGCAGCGGGCGGCTGTGATCGAGCGCTTCCGGGAGGGCAAGGAGAAGGTCTTGGTGACAACCAACGTTTGTGCCCGAGGTGAGCCCAGGAGGCCAGCTGCGATGCTCCGCCCTGTCCTTGTGCTCCTCCCACTTTCTTGGAAAAGGGGGAGGGTGGGCGCCCTCCAGGTGGGTGGACATCAACTCGCAGAATTCTCTGCAGGGGCTCTGCTGGCTGGGGAACTCTGGGAGTTGAAGTCCACGCATCTTCCCATTGTGGGGGAAGGCTGGTAGGCGTCCCTTGAAATTCAGTCTATGTGGAAAACAGTATTTTCCTCGCTGGACGTTTCCTTCTCTCTCTCAGCCCACATCTACACGTTTCCCTTTACGCAGAGGATGTGCGTGGCCTGCCCCGTGATGCCAAAAACATTTCAGTGCAGACCTTTGTGAGCAGCGTGGCTCCCCTTTTAGTCCCTGACTTCTGGATTTTGGGAATGGGAAACAGGCCCTGTGCAGTTCTTGCAACAGATGCGTTAGGAGAAGCTGGGCCAGAAAGTAACTGTTTGTGTTTTATTGATTTTTTTGTAATTTCTTCCATTGTTGTGAGCCACCCAGAGTCGGTGGCATACAAGTTTAACAGATGATGACGATGATGATGTGACTGGTTTCGATCATGGATAATTTCCTCCCCAGGGATAGACGTGGAGCAAGTCTCTGTGGTCATAAACTTTGATCTTCCTGTGGATAAAGATGGGAACCCCGACAACGAGACATACCTCCACCGCATTGGCCGTACGGGGCGTTTTGGCAAGCGGGGGCTCGCCATTAACATGGTGGACAGCAAGCACAGCATGAACATCCTCAACCGGATCCAGGAACATTTCAGTAAGTGCCCGCAGCTGCTTCGGTGCCCGGTCCCATCTTTGGCTTGGAGGTTGTGCCACTCATGTAAACAAGGATGTGGAAGTCTGGTTGCTCTTTTGGGGTGTTTTTTAGTGTAGGACTGTGCTTGGCCTTCCAGTGGGATGTGGGGGGAGGGGCCAACACCCTACTTTGATTTCAGTTGAAAATTAATTGAAGTTCACTATAGTTAATATTGAGAGCCAGTTTGGTGTGGTGGTTAAAAGTCCCAGACGATGGTGTGTTCTAATCCTGCCCTGGGCACAAAGCCAGCTGGGTGACCTTGGGCCAGTCCCCCTCTCTCACCCCCAGGAAGGAGGAAGCCAGGACAAACCCTGCGTGGCCAAGTGGCCAAGACAATGGCCGGGCACCAGAACTGATTCAAAGGCACCCCACCCCCCAAAAAACACCAGTTAATATTACTACTCTGTTTGTTTAAAAAACTTCCCCTCTGGTTACATGTTAGAATTTGTAATTTAGCTTTAAGAGAGATTCAGGGGCTTTTAAGGGTCATAAGCAACTCAGGGCCTTTCAGCTGTGCTTTTGAGTTTTCAGAAACTTAAATGTGTTATTTGGGCCATGTGTTGCTGGAGAACAGCTGTTTCCTGTTTGAACAGACTGCTAAATCTTTTCTGATAATGCTGCTTTTTTGCTTCTTTTGTCTGTGCAGACAAGAAGATTCATAAACTGGATACAGACGATTTGGACGAAATTGAGAAGATTGCTAACTGAAGGGGCAGCCGAGGGGGTGGGTGTGCCCGCCTTTCTCCCTGTGGCTCTCCCTACCACAATCAATTTGCCATCCCAATCGGGCACCTCTCCTCGCCAGCCATGTGCAAAGGGGTGTGTCCTCCGAGATCACAAACGCTGTGGAAATTACCTCATCATCTTAAACCAACAACAATGTGGCTGGACTTGATTTTAAATAGTAGTGCAAACTGGAGAAAGAAGACACGTTTAAGAAGAAATGTTTACAGTAACTTTTAACTTTTTCTTTTAGTTTAGCCTTAATAGTGGGGAACCTCTTAAATTCTGAAAATGATGCCAAAAAAACATAGCCAATAATTAGGAAGGATTCGTAATGCCTGTTTTGTGGAGAAAGTACTAAAATGTACCCAAGCAGTATATATGGAAAATGGAACAAATATCTATAGCTTATGATTTTCGTTTTGAACTTTGAAGAGGGCAGGCGTTCAGGCTAGCTCCATGCTGGGTTGTGTGAAGTGGGCTAAGATCTCCATTTTCTCGAGAAAAATTGCCCCGCTTTTCTCTAGGTTGGTGATGCTATTTTTTTTCCCCGGTTGATGGCATGATCTACTGTCTTCTCATTCTTATCCTTTTTCTCCTCCCCAAGGAACTTTGGGGAACTGCAGTCCTACGTGGGGGTCCTGAGACCGTCGCTGCTTTGGGGCGGGGGGAGGGAAGCCAAAGCCTTGGCAGGTTCACAGGGCCTTACTTGCCCCCGCAGAGCAGATACTGCTAGGTGAAGAAGAGAGTGGATGTGAATACAAAGGTTGGGGGACCCCTCTCAGCTCAGGTCAAAAAAAAGATGGAGGGCCAACAAAATGGAAGTCCACAATTAGTGGAAGGAGATGGAAGCTGGTGGGAATGGCCCGGTGTGAGAAATATTTTTAGCTGAGAGAGCTTTGGGGCGGGCAGATATCCCTTCCCTCGCTGAGCTGAATCTCCACAGGCTTTGCGTAAAACCGGCCTCATCTTTGGGCCTGTAAGAGGAGGTCCTGTGGGTTGCACCGGACGGGAGGGTGGACTTTTATGTTCACCTCTGAGCAGGTGTGTCTCGGAGGGCTGTGGAGCATCGGCCTTGTGTCATAACGAGAGTGCCAAGTTTTAACGGAGCAACGCTGGGAATTGCACATCCCCCCTCCCCGAGCGCTAGTATTTGCATGGCCTCCGCTGGTGGTGCATCAGGCTGCGGGTTTGTTTTTGGATTGGGGGGGGTGCTGCTGGCCACTACGAAATGTGTAGTGCTTGGACTTGGCTTTGCGGGGGTGGAGAGATCACGCCTGCTGTTGCGGCGTGCCCAAATAACGTTCAGTTGGAGATGGGAGGGGTGTGTGTGCGCCTCTCCGGCTGAGGAGGCTCAGCTGGTGCTGGAAGCAGCCGGGTCTTCTCTTGGTTCAGTTTGGCTTCTCCAATTCTGCCGTAGCGTGGTTGGACATGCAGCAAGGGTCTGACCTGGTTCTTCTCTCTCTCTCTCTGTGGCACGGTAGAATTAAAGTATTTTTATTCACGCTTCAGGGAGGCAGGATTAGCTCCTGGCCTCCTCCTCGATACAGGAATCTTTTCTAAACCGATCGATTGTGAATCCTGAGTTTTTATCCCTGCTTTTTAAAGGAAACGCGGGCTGTTAACTGTTCCTTTCAGTGACTGAAATGGGGATTCTTTTCACAGTGAAATGAAAAATATTATACGCACCCTGCTCGTTTTAGAAGTGTACCTAAATTTTTAGGATGTTTGTGCACAGCCTCTTCTTGGTTTCTGCAAACAGCTTTAGGGGTTTGTGGGGGGTGGGTTGGGCAGGTTTAAAAAAAATAGCTATCCACAGATTTTGTATGCTGGGGCATACCTATTTTTATTCCACAGGAAATGACAGGCAGAGGTGAGCTGTGCATGGCAGGGAGTTTTCAATCAGCTCTGGCCACGCTGCGTGACCACGTGAGCCAGATGCACTGAGCGATTGCACAAGCAGCCAGGCTGCTTTCTGATGTAACTCTGCAGTTAGAATAAAGACCACACAACACTGACCTCGGCTGATTTCCGTGCGATTCCCCACCACCACCACCACCGCTAGCTCTTCCTGGTGGCCGCTGCGTCCTGCCTCACTGCCAAGCGAGAAGGGATTTTTAAATTGAGGAGGGCACCCAGCATTTTCAGGTGAGGGGCCAGCCTGCCCTAAGACTAAACTAAGTTGGTTTTCATGGCGTTTGCACGTTCATTGCATTAAAATAAATATAGCCGATACTATCCCCCAACGGGTTCATTTGCCCTTTCTGCCAGTTTGGGGAGGAGTCTTGGTGGTCCCTGGGGGCTCTAGCTGGGCATGGTGAGCTGAGCTGCTGAGGGACCGCCCCCCCCCCCCCAGGGCCTGCAAGGCAGCTCGCGTTCCACCAGCCGGGAGGGTGACTGAAACCACACAGCCAAGCTGTGGCCCAAATATTTAGGGTTAAGTGTGTCTGCTGGTGTTTTTAGTGTGCATATGTATCTATGCATATCTTTATTGGGTATTACAATGAACAAGTCCTCTAGCTAAGTGCAAAAAAGCCATTATTCCCCCACCCCCACAGTAATCAGTCCACACATCCACCCACCCCTTTTCCCTAATAAATCCATGTGGACGCAGGCCTTGGATTTTAAAATTGCTTCTTACAGCCTGTGCCAGAGCATTGAAGACATACAAATCCAGCATCTGGTCACGTGAGAACACCATCTCCCCCCGCCTCTTTTTTCCCCCATAAAAGGAATGAATGGGGCCTTCCCCAACTCAGTGCCCCCCAGGTCACGTGGACTGAGCATTCTATGGTCCGATAATACACCATGCCAATTGGGCAGGCCTCACCAAGTCTCATTCCCCCAACAGCCTGAAGGCCAAGACAAGCTTCCCCCTTCTCGGCATGGATCTTCTCAGCTTAGGTGCCCCACCCCCTCCGTGGGCCTAGGCGGAGAAAGCAGGCCCTGCGGTCGACAGGCCTGGGGCAGCTCTTGGCTGCAGCACACTGGTGGTCTGAAGAGAGCCCAAAGGGTGGTCACTGCAGCGGGAGCAAGGAAGCACCCCGCTGAATTGAGCCCCTGGAGGGACTGGCTCAGCTGGATAGATAGCCGGACGCGGCAACAGCTGAAGCTTCCACACCCTGGGAAATTCTCTTCCTTTCGCCTGTTTGCACTAAGTAAAGAAATCAAGACTCAGAAGACAGACTGTTTTGGCAAGCTGTCCACTCTTTTAGCATATCTCTTTGTGCAGAATACTGAGACTTCAAACTCTGCCTGTGGACAGAGAAAGATTTTTTTTTAACATTCAAATACAGTTTAAGGGAAAAAAAACACATGGCATTTTGATAACACAAACAGGCCACTCTTAATCGAAACAGGTTGATTTGTTCTTGAAAGCGCGCCAGCAACCCTTCAGGAAAAGCCACCTGTCCAGGCAGAACTCAAGCGAGACCAGGATGCCAAATGCCAACACACCCTTGCCGTGAATGCGTTTCTGCAATCCAAAGGTCGAAGGGCTCTGAACCTATTGCCAAAAACAACACTGAATTTCAAATGTACACTGGAGGGAAAACCCATTTGGGGAGGATCCTTCCAGACTTAATTTGTGCCATAATCTTGTAAAAGAAACATTTGATTAAAAATGCAGGAACAGACCTTGGGAGGCTGAGCGAGTCCAAAGGTCTTTACCACCACCGCCACCACAGAATGGAGCAGAAGCCTTGAAATAAAGCATCGGGGCCCCGGCCTTCCATCAAAGCCAAAAACGGTCTTTGTATCCTGTGCGGAAGCTTTTGCTCCCCCGCCCCCGAAAAAAATCATCATGGAATATCTGCACGTTCCTTGTTGAACCAAAGCCGTGTAAGTGAGAGAATTCAGAACAAAAGGCACAGCGCGGAGAGTTCCTGGTAGCCCTATGCTTATTCTGACTTGGCTTCCTTACCGCTCTTCTAGATTCAAACCGAATTGGATCAGGCCAAAAAGAAATCAAAAAGAAAAAAAAATGCAGTGCAAAGCAAACTCTTGAAAATGAAACCCCTGCCTGTGGACCAGTTGGAACGGAGATGGGGGAGCCCATGAAAGGGAAGTGCAGTGCTCGAGAGTGAAGCAGCACTGGGCATCCCTTTGGGACGTGCCCGGCGACCTGGGCGAGCGAGCGGCTGGGTCTAAAGGAGCGGACGCTGGGGGTGCGTTTTCTTCCAGTGGGGTTTAATGCAAGGCACAAGCGCGCCAGCTGCTTACAGCTCCCCCTCCTGCTCTTCCAGCAGGATGCACAGCACCGACTTGTGGCAGATGGCACAGTCCTGCAGAGACTTGGTGAGGTCCGAGAAGGTCCTTCGGGGCACTTCCACCGTCCCGATGCTGCAGCGCCGGTAGGCGGCCTCATTCTTCTGTTCCGCCGCGGCGACCACAGTCCCCAGGTTATCCGTGGGCCGGAAGTAGCGTTCGAACCTTTCCCCCGAAGGTGAGCGGATGGCCAGCAGCAGCCTTGGCTCTTTCTCGCAGGGCTCCTCCAGGTTCAGGGCCAGCGTGGGGGAGCCCCCTTCTCTCCTTTTATTTAATTGCGGCCTCTCCAGGGGAGAAAAGGGGGCCTGGGCATACTCTCCGCCACCCCCCTTATGCTCCTCCATGAGCGGGGTGGGCCCCTTCCCCAGCAGAGAGGGATCCTGGGACTCCTGTTCCTCCTCCTCCTCTTCCTCCTCCTCCTCCTGAGCACCGGCTGGGAGCTGACTGGCCTGCTCGGACATCGCTCCTGCAGCGCCCATCCTCCGATCCTTCCGGCTGATGGACGGCAACACCCTGTACTTGTTGAGGGAAGATGAGGTTCTCGCGGGCACTTGTTGGAGGAGGTCTGGGACTTCGGCCGGAAAGACCTGAACGGGCTGGAACAGCTGCTGAGAGGATGCTGCCCTCCGGCTACTGACCGCTTCCTCCCCAGGGGTGACAGGTTGGGGGGAGGATGGCACTGGATAGGAATAGGCCCCGACACTCTGGGAATAGCTCAAGTTGGACCGTGTGCGCCCCTTGGCAGATTTTGGCCGGGTGACGTGCATGGCAACGCAGTGGGGTGGCCAGATGGGAGACTTTACGATGCCAAAGGGGACCTTCCGTTCAGAGGGTGAGATGGTCAGGGGTGAGGCAGCGGCCATTGCTTTTCAGGAGACCTGGGGAGTGAAGGAAGGAAAGAAATGCCACCGGCAGGTTAGCCTTTCCAATGCGTCATTTTACAGCTCGCGCTGCCAGGCTCCCAGCTAGCAAGCCCTGCCAAATTGTGCACGGCTCTTTAAACGAGCACAAGACTGGCACACCCTGGCTTTGCAGCTCAGAACAGCCACCACCTGGGCTTTGTGCCTTTGTGCCTTAATGCTAACCTCCACGCAATGGTGTGGGAAGCGTAGAGGGCCCTCCCACAGGCCAGACTTAAAACCACAGAACTAAAAATCCGCCTCAAGCGCAGAGCTCCCTTGTGCCAAATGCGGCTCTCTCTTTGTAAAGCCGATCCGTGCAGCGGCCTCGGATCTTTGGGGAACCGGACAAAGGGAGAGACCAGGGTGTCCCACCTGAGTTAGATGCTCCATCGGCTCAGGACGACCAGCGGCTCCGGGATCGAGAGGGCCGTCAGTCCAACAGGGTCTTCGCCGCCGCCACCGGGGAGTTGCTGACTTTCCAACCTGGAAACGGAAGAGGCATTTCCCAGGGTAAGGACCGCGAGGGCAGACGATGGCACCAGCAGGGGGCTGTGGAGGGTGGGGGGCCGTCCTGGAAAGGGAAACGGCAGCCAGAGAGGCCAAGGAGGGTCAGGCCCAGCCGCACCCGGCCACGGCCCACTGAGTAAGCCAGTTTGCCCATCAGCTGGGGGGGGTCAAGCGAGTTTGCAGAGGGGCTGAACTGCCACGGAGGTCCTTTGGGGAGAAGGTGACCCTCTTTGGCCGACCGGCCGGTGCCCAAGCGTTGCCCATCCCCAGCGGGTCCCCCCGCCCCCTTTTACCCTCCCAGCAGCCCTGCGAGGTAGGCAGAGCCAAAAGGGCGCGTCTCCTTCGCTCCCCTGCCCAGACCCGGGGGCCGAGGGGGCGCCCAAGCCGGGTCCCGCGACTTCAGGCCCCATCATTCCCAGCCGCGGGCCGCCTAGGGGGTTGGACTACAACGCCCATCAGCCCCGCCAGCATGCTCGCCCAATCCGATGCCTTCGACAATTGCCCTCGCTCCCAGCCTTCCCACGGCCCTAACCGTCCAGACAGCTCCCATCACGGCCCCCCGTGGTCCCAGCCCCGACGTCTCCGGCTGCGCTGGACTCCAGTCCCCATCGTCACAGCGAGCTCAGGTTGGCCGAGGCCCCATCATCCAAAGGCGTGGTTGGGGATAATGGAGATTGTAATCCAGCGCAGTAGTGGAAGGGGCCGTCGGGGG